CCCAGCCCCCGACTTGGCCCGCGTTGCCGCGGCAGCGGCGGCGGCGACCGCGGCGCTGGCGGCGCCGATCGGCACAGCCGCAGCCGCCAGTGTGGTGCACCCGGCCAGCCTCGACTGCTGCCTGCAGCTCGGGGCTGTGCCCGCTGACCCCTCGGCACCAACCACGCTGCGCGTCCCAGCGGGCGCAGACCTTTTCGTGGCGACCCCTGGCGGAGGCAGCGGCGGCAAGGATTCCTTACCCCTGGCATGGGCGAGCGCCGCGCAGGGCAGAGCAGCACCCGGCGGCGCCCTGCTCCTGGATTACTCAGCGCACGGCGGCAGTGGGAGCGCCAGCGGTGGGTGCCGCATTGACGGCCTCCTGGCTAGCCCTGTTTCTGGCGCCCGCTCGGTCGTGGCAGCGGCGGGGACTGGAGAGGCACCAGCTGCAGCAACCTCGGCGACAGCCGAGCATGGGATGCTGTATGAAGCGGAGTATTTCGCAGTAATGCCGCAAGACAGCGCTGCACGCCACCGAGAGGACGAGGGGCAGGAAGACGAGGGGCCAGCGGCGGCGTGCGGCCTCCAGCTGGCGCGCGGCAGCCACAGCACGACGGCCGGCGCCGCGGCTGCGGCCGCTATCGCGGCGCTTCAGTGCGCCGCCGGGCTGCGGCCCGCGGCCGTAGCGGCCTGCAGCGCTGCGAGTCCTGTTGGGCCAGCTGGAGCAATGCCAGACCTTGGCTTGGCCCACATGGCACAGGTGCAGGGCGTCATCAAATCAGCCGCACTGGAGCTGCCCTCCACTGCTTTCAGCGTCAGCACCACCGCGCTGGCGCCTGCGTGTGCCTTGCTGCGCCTGCTGCCCGTCCATGGTGGTGGTGCCGACGGCTGCGGCGCGTTTGGTGCTCACAGCGCCGGCGGTGTGCTGATGGAGCCGCGCTTGCTGCCGAGCTCGGCGGCCCAGCAGGCTGGCGCTGCAGGGGAGGCGATCCAGCTCTTGCCCCAGCCGCGCGGCAGCCTGGGCGGCTTGGTGCCCGCGGCTGTGGACGCGTCGGCTGCGGCGCTGGCGCCTAGCCAGATAGGGCTGAGGGTTCAGGCTGTTGGCCTCAACTTTCGGGACGTCCTGAACGTGAGGGGTGGGGGGGCGCGAGCATTGATGCAGAGGGGCGTGAAGCTTGCTAGAGCTGCAAATGTGTGTTTGCTGTTGAGCACATAACACGTGTGCTGCTTGTATTGTGTAGCCTTCAAACAGGCAGCCTCACCGGCACGGTTCAGACGTGCATCCTCTAAGATCCAGTCAACCACAGTGGAAAATGCAAAATCACGCCATCTCAGGTCCTGGGCATGTACCCTGGCGACCCAGGCAACCCCGGAGGGGACTGCGCAGGCGTCGTCCTCGCCACAAACCCTACTGCAAACTCGGCCTCTCACGCTGTCGGGCAGCGCGTGTTTGGCCTGGCCGTTGGTTCCCTCGGCACAGCCGTGGTGTGCGCCGCCAACACCATGGTGGCGGCCCCCGCCTGTTTGAGCTTTGAGGAGGCAGCCAGCATGCCCACCGTGTTCATCACCGCATGTGCGGCGCTGCGGCAGGTGGCCGCAACGCAGCGAGGCGAGCGCGTGCTGCTGCAAGCCACGGCAGGCGGCGTGGGCCTGGCAGCGCTGCAGGTGCTGCGGGCAACCGGCGCCATGGTGCTGGGCACAGCCGGCGGGCCGCCCAAGCGCGCGCTGCTGCGCTCCCTGGGAGTAGCACACGCAGTGGGCAGCCGTGACACGGGCTTTGCATGTGACCTGGCAGTGGCAGCTGGCGGCGCGGACGTGGTGCTCAACTCGCTGACGTCACCAGGCATGGTGGGCGGCGCGCTGGCGCTGCTGCGGCGTGGCGGGCGGCTGGTGGAGATCGGCAAGCGCGATGTGTGGAGCGGCGCCGCAGTGGCCGCTCAGCGTCCTGACGTGGCGTACAGCCTGCTGGCGGTGGACTTCCTGCCTGACAGCGAGGTGCAGGCGGCGCTGCGCGCCGTGGCGGCGGGCGCTGCATCTGGCGCGCTGCGGCCGCTGCCGCTGGCGGCACACCCTCTGTCGGGCGTGGCAGCTGCCCTGCGGCAGTTGAGCCAGGTGAGGGCTTGGAGAGGATGTGACACAGTCGGACTGACAGGGTTCACCAAGTCGATCGCTTGAACGCTCCTAGTTGTTTGTCTCTCTTCCCTCAGCTGTCCTGTTCTCAACGTGTATGATCACCTTGCTGTTAGCTGTACAGACTCTTACTGTGCATCGCCCTCAACAACTCACTTGTGCTGCAGGCTCGCCAACTGGGCAAGGTCATCGTCGGCGGCGCCACCAACCGGCCGCCAGCCGCGCCAGCAGGGCGCGTGCTAGTGACAGGCGGCACAGGCTACCTCGGAAGCCTGGTTGCCGCCTGGCTGACTACACAGCAAGTCAGCTCAGTCAGCCTGCTCGCCCGCAACGCGCACGCCGGCACGGCCCTGGCACCACTGCTGGCTGGCGGCAGCATGATGCCCATGAGTGTCACGCAGTGTGATGCCGGCCTTAGCGCTGATGTGGCAGCCCTTCTCAACAGCGGCGAGCCAATCCAGGCCGTCTTCCATGCGGGCGGCGTGCTAGCGGATGCGACCCTGCAGCAGCTCACCCTCTCAGGTGTGCGCCGCGTAAGCGCCGCCAAGCAGACTGCACTGGTGCGGCTGCTGGCCGTGCAGCGGGCCCAGCCAGCAGCTCAGCTTGTGCTCTTCAGCTCTGTGGCGTCCCTGCTGGGCAGCGCCGGCCAGGCCAACTACGCCGCAGCCAATGCGGCGCTCGACGCGGCGGCGGCGATGCTGCAGGCTGGCGGCGTCGCGGCGCTCAGTGTGCAGTGGGGTGCGTGGGCGGGCGCGGGCATGGCGGCCAACGACCCCCAGACAGCTGCGCGCGTAGCACGCATGGGGATGGCTCTGATTGAGCCGCGGCGCGGCCTTGCAGCTCTCGAGAAGGCGCTGCAGCCGCTCACAAGCAGCACGCCTGGCACACCCAGCGTGGCGGCTGCGGTGCCGTTCCTGTGGCCGCGCCTGCTACAGCACCAGTCGCGGCGCGCCGCCCAGCTTCCCTGCTTGTTTGCAGAACTCGCGGGCAACGCCTCTCCCTCGGCCTCGCCTGATGGCTCAGTGGCACCCAGCATCAGGCGCGCCCCGCGGCACGCGCCAGTCGCCGGGCGGCAGCAGGGGCAGGGCACACGGCAGGCACAGCAGCAGCAGCAGCATCAGGCGCAGCAGGCGCAGCAGCTGGCGGCCACGGTGCAGCAGGCGGTGGCCGAGGTCCTGGGCCAGCAGGTGGCGCCCGACGAGCCGCTGATGGCGGCTGGCCTGGACTCGCTGGGCGCGGTGGAGCTGCGCAACGCGCTGGAGGGCCGCCTGGGGCTGCAGCTGCCGGGGACCCTCGTCTTCGACTACCCCAGTAGCGCGGCAATCCAGGGCTACCTCGCTGCCAGGATCGGCAGTAGCGAAGGCGGGGCTATGGCTGGACGCGGCAACGCGGTGGTAGCGCCAGAGGCAGGCGCCAGAGGCAGGCAGATTTCTCCATTTGGTGATGAAGACGCGGAGGAAGATCTCTGGACAGCAGACCTGGAAGATGAGGAGGCGGAGGCAGCCGCCGGCGGCAGGGCGTTGGCGGGCGGCGCCCTAGGCCTGGCTGCAGCAGCATCTCTGCAGCGTCAGCCGCGCGGCACCCCCGCTGTCTACGGCCGCCCGGCCCAGCTGCTTGCGGTCGCATCGGCGGCGGCGCGGCTGCCGCACGCGCCGCGCGAAGGTGGACGCGCGGCTGCAGCCGAGGCGCCGCGCCTGGAAGTGCGGGACGCGGTGCGGCCAGTGCCGTTTGGAAGGTGGGACCCCACTTTTGCAGCAGAGGCGGCGGGCGAGCTGCAGGTTGCATTCGGCAGCTTCCTGGCAGGCGCGGCCGCCTTCGACGCCGCCGCGTTTGGCCTGTCCGAGGGCGAGGCGGCCTTGATGGACCCCCAGCAGCGCCTGCTGCTCGAGGCCGCGGCCGAGGCGCTGGCGGGGACGCCTGCGCTGGCTGCGGGCGGCGCAGCCCCGGGTCCGGCGGGCGCGACCAGCGACGATTACCGCTCGGCGTGCGGCGTGTATGTGGGGGTGTCATCGAGGGACTATTTTACGATGGGACTCCTCAGCAAGCAGGTGGGTGGGATGGATGGGCTGGCAGCCGCTTTGGCCCTGACAAGATGGCGCAAATACCTTGTGCTAGTCTGTGGTGGAGGCTGGGAAGGGCCTCAGTAATGCGCACCCTAGGGCTGGCTTGGGCGCCCTTGCACCCTGTAGCCGCATGGCTGTGGCATCCAGCCATCAGGTGCTGGAATGGTTGGCGGCACATGCGCACCCTGAGCGCTTGTGCCAAGCGCACCCTGAGCGCTTGTGCCAAGCATGCTGCCAACCAAGTCAGCAGCAGCCGCCCTGTGCCGTCTCCCTGCTGCCACTCTTCTCATCCGAAACACTCTCGACCCCCTGAATGCGCCTTCCACAGGCTGCCACCGCGTACAGCGCCACCTCGACCACCCTCAGTGTAGTGTCCGGCCGGCTGTCCTACACCTTTGGGCTGCGCGGCGCCGCAGTCTCTGTCGACACCGCCTGCAGCAGCAGCCTCGTGGCTGCGCACTCGGCGGCGGGCACGCTGGGCCAGGGGCAGTGCCGTGCGGCGGTGGTGGGCGGCACCAACCTGACTTTGGCGGCGGACACGCCGATCATGTTTACGCGAGCAGGTGGGTGGGGCCGGCGTGGCAATCAGTTTCAGCAGCGAGGTTCTATAAGTGCTGCTAGTCAAAAGGCAAAAGCTGCACAAACTGACTGCTGTACTGTGGGGGCTGCCAGAACACCCCATGGATTAGTAAGGTGCCCTGCCTTGCAAGCAGCACGTGATCAATATTTCAAAGTGCCTGCCACACCGCGAATCTACGGGCACGTCCCCACCCCGTCAGGCATGCTGGCGCCCGACGGCCGCTGCAAGACACTGGACGCGGCCGCAGACGGCTACGTGCGCGCAGAGGCTGTGGGCGTAATGGTGATCGAGGTGGTGGGCGGCTTTGCGTCTAGCCCGGCCTCGCCCACGCCGCTGGCCGTGCTGGCCGGCAGCGCGGTCAACCAGGACGGCCGCAGCAGCGGCCTCACGGCGCCCAACGGGCCGGCGCAGCAGGAGGTGATCCGCCAGGCCCTGGCGGCGGCGGGGCTTGCCGCGGCAGACGTGTGCGGCGTCAGCACTCACGGCACAGGCACCAGCCTGGGGGACCCAATTGAGGTCGGCGCCCTGGCCGCCGTGTTTGGTGGCATTGGCGGCAAGAGCGGCAGCAGCAGCAAGAGCATCCCAGCAACACCTTTGGCCATCATGTCCAGCAAATCCTGGCTGGGCCACGCCGAGCCCGCCGCCGGCGTTGTCGGCATGCTGCATGCGCAGCTGGCGCTGCAGCAGCGCGCCGCGCTGCCCGTCGGCCACCTGCGGGCGCTGAACCCCTATCTGGACCCGATTCTGTCTGAGTCACACGGCGCCAGTGACGCGGGGGCCGGCAAAGCCCAGGGCTGGCTGCTGCCTCGGGACCCGTGCGGGCAGCCGCTACCAAGCGCGGCGGTTGCGGAGGCGTCTGTGATTGGCACGAGCGCGTTTGCTTACCAGGTGTAGACTCTGCGGCAAAGACGGAGGCGCTTGCAGGCACTGCCCTCTACTGCAGTGGGGTTGCCTGGGGATTCTTGTGTCTTGGGATGCAGGATCATTTTTGTGCTTTGCAGATTTTCCGTGTGCCTGTTCACTTACACAAACTCCGCCATTCAATATCTCTTCATCAACCACTACAGGGCACCAATGCGCACATCTTGCTTGCGACCCCACGCCCCGCCGGCGCGGCTGCCGGGAAGCTGCCCGAGCAGCACCTCCCCTGGCGGCCCACACGTCACTGGATGCTGCCACAGCTGTCGGCACTCGCAGCGCGCGCCGCCGCCGCTGCTGCGGCCGGCCCGCAGCTGCTGCTATTTGAAGCTCGGCTTGCGCCGGCTGACAGCCGGCTGGCGTTCCTGTGGGACCATGTGGTGGCTGGAAGGCCCCTCCTGCCAGCCGCCGCCATGCTCGAGGCGGCCGCAGCCGCGGCGCGCTCCGCCCTGCAGCTGACGCCCGGAGCAGGCGGCGCGGCAGATGCGGTGGCGGCGCTTGTGCTGGCGGGCGTGTCCATCCACACACCCCTGCAGCTGCCGGATGAGGTGGCGGCGGGTGCTGAGGTGGCGCTTGTCAGCCGCTTGGATATTGGGACTGGCAGCCTCCAGCTGGCTTCAATAGGGGCGGGCGGAAGCGGCGGCAGTAGCAAGAGGGTTCACCTTACCGGCAGCTTAGGCCAGGCGTCGGCTGCACGCCCCAGCGGCGCCGCTAGCGACGCTTGTGTGCCGCTAGCCGGGCGCCTGGCGCGCCTCATGCCCGCCGCCGTGCCGGCGGCAGGCGGACGCCCCGCCGCTGCGGCGTCGGCTGTGGCGG